CAGCCGTGCCCGGCGGGAGGGCGGAGGGGGAGGAAGGAGAGAAGAAAGGGAGGAAGGAAGGGAGGAAAGAAAGAAGGCAGGCCGGCGTGCTGCTGCTGCCGCCGGCCGGGCTGGAGGCGCGGGGCTCGGGTGGCAGCCGGCCCCTGACTGGGGCAGGAGCAGCAGCTTCCAGACCTGGGTTAAAAAGTTAAAAGCAAAACTCGATTTTTTTTTTTTTTTTTTGGGGGGGGTGGGGTGAGATTTTTAACCTGTAGGCGTGCTGCGAATAGCCAAAACCACTCGTGGATCAGGCAGTCTTAGGTTAGTCTTAGCTAAGCAGGCACATGGGAACACGTACTCGGAGTCACAAGCAGCCCAGTGCAGTTGGTGTTTGGGAAAATGCCAAAGCATTTCCAGCCAAGAACTAAGTGAACGTTCCTTTTAGGATCAGAAGGGGTCTTTTGAGGGTCAAGGCTTTCAAAAGTTTTACCGCCGTTCGTGGACAGATTCTGTGCCAGGTCCAGAAAAAATGCAAACTTGGCTGTGTTGGTGTGGTGGTAAGTCAAGGACTGTGCTCATTCAGCAGGACGTGGGAGTATATTTCTTAAAATTTGGCTCTACAGTGGAAAAGATGCATTTTTATAAGTATCCAGGGAAGGTTTGAGCCATGTCATCTTTTGGGTAAACGGACGACTCATCTTTCTACTTTACCTCTAGCACAGCATTACTGGAGAAAATTTATTTTGGACCTTACTTTGGGTCCCTAGGTATAGGCTGTGATTAAAATTAAATTAATTCTATGCTGTGCTAAACTCCGGCCCTCCACTGTTACACACCAAAATTCTGATATATTTCCATATCTGGCTGCTTAGTTCCTGACTCAAGACATTCCTTCTCACAGTAGACACGCACAAAGAAATCCTTAATTTTTAAAAAGACCTTAAAAATCAATACGCCCCATCTTGGAAGTTTACTCGGCCAGTGACCTTGGGGTTAAGGGCCCTTGGTGTTTAGGGCTTTAAAGCCTCAGTTGTGGTCACTCTGCAGTCAGCGAGCCAGAGGGCTTTTTCAGCAGAAATTCCCCCTTCGGAGTCATGGCTTGGTAGGTGTTTTTCAGTGCACAAAGGTACAAACTGAGACGGTTTGAAAAGGCCTTGTTTTTGAAAAGCATTGACCACTTCGGTCATGAAGAAGGGGAACTCATCAAGTGCTGGAGAAGTCGATGTTCCTCATCCGGCACGTGGGCGAGGAGGCTCCTGGATGGGGCTCTGGGTGGCCCCTGCAGAATGTGAAGCACAAGAGCTTCGTAGCATCTGAAACAGTTTTCTGCCTGGGTTGAGAGAACGCACTCAGGGCTGCTGCTGGGTGCCTGTCTTAAACTCTGCAAGGGCTTCATGAGCTCAGGGGCGGTCAGGGAATCCTGGAAGGGAGAAATGGTGGGGATCTGCTGCCTGAATTTTATCTGGTTTTGCTTTAGTCCAGTGATCGCTCCCAGTCATTTCAAGTTAGTGCGTGTTAGAGACCAAAATCTTCAGCTTCACCTGTCCAAAATGAGCATCCGAACATCAAATGGGGAAATGCAGTTGTCTTTCCTGCCTGCTCTTTTTCCATCTCCTTGCTTGCACTATCATCTCACTCCATGATGGAGTTTGATGTTTGAGCTATGCTTAGCAAACTAGCATTTTTTAAGGACATAGCCAGGATAGATGTTTGATTCCCAAATGGCCCCTAGACAGAAGGCAGGCATCTCAAAATTCACTTCACTATACAAGAAACATACTGGGTAACCCAGGAGAGATGGAGTTCTCCCAGGAAGGTGCTGTCCAGCAATGCTCTCAGTGCTCGGGGGAAGCGTTTTCAGAAAGTAGCTTTATCGGGGGGTGTCACAGATGGGGTTTTCCAGTCTCTCTTGGGGTCCTAGGCCCTTGCATTCTGTCCAAGATGCCATTTACGTGCCTATGTGTTCTGTTGGTTGCCTGCCCTAGATTTTAACAACCAGGCCAGCCAACCAACCAACCTTTGATGGGGCTTCGAGAGCCGGTAGGCACCTCTCACCATATAAAGACTTTAGCAGGTTTCTTACAAAAGCTTTGAAAATCTCTGCTTCTCCTTGTATTCTCAACCTGAATTAAGTACACTTTCTGCAAGGTCTAGCTGTTCGCACAGCAGTGTCTAGTTTAATTATCAGAAACTCACTTGGTAATCACGCTCAACACCTGCTGCAGGTTTTTTACTTCATTATTTACTCATGAGAAAGAATTTAATTGTATTACTCTGTCATTTTCCTTTTCAAGTGCCATTAATGGGCCTAGGGATATGTTTGTCGTTAAGGACTAGACTGGACATCTTGATTCCATTCATAGGTCTGGCACGGACTCCCTGTATGATCTTGGATGAGTTGCTTGGTCTCTCTGGACCTTGATTCCTCTTCGGTAGAGTGGCTATAAAATACATCTTTTCCAGCTTTTGTCTAGTCAGAGTGTTAGTCAAGTGGAATGGAAGCTGGCAGAGGGCATCCGATTGCTTCCTGTGAATGCATTAGAAGGGTAAATATCAGGGAGGGAGAAGAGATACTTAAGCTAAAGAACAGTTGTGGCAGAACAAACACCTATAAATAGAAGGTGGATAAATTTGAGATGGAAATTTGAAGAAGGTTTCTCATCATCAGATCAGTTGAGTTCCAGAGCAGCCTTCCAGGATGAGTCGGGGGGAGAACGACCTGGTGCGTAGGGTACATTTCTACCCCTCTGAAAATTAAAATGCATCGCGTAGGCCAAAGCTGCCTGCTGACTGTCGCTGCTGCTGCTGCCTGGCTGTGGTGCATCTACCAGTCCTGCTGCTGCTTTTGCACTAGTGCAACAGCAGTAACATCAGAGGCATCAGTAACAGAGCTCAGGTGTGACATCTCTCTTAACTTTTGGGGGGTAGAGTCTCTTAAGGACTGGCAAATGCTCTAGCTGCCTTTAGTATGAACCTTGACCAGTTAATGAGCGGGATTATTTGGCATGGGTTTTATTCCAGCAAAGGACTGGTCTTCACAATGCCAAAGGTTCTCTTCCTTTGTTAATATTTCCCAGAAATGGCTGCATTTTAGCTCGTGAGGCAGTGAAATCTGAGTGGAAAGAAGATGGTGGGGATCATTAATAGTTTTCTCAGGTTGGTGGTTCTGAGTTTGGCATTCTTTCTAAAGGTTGCCAGGTACCAAACATCACTTCTGGATGTTCAGACATCACTTCGGGATGTTAAAGGTTGAAGTATTTTAATCTTCATGCATTTCCCTACTCCTTTTCTCACACTCTAGGTTGCCAGATGGATGCCAGAGACAAGCAGCTTTTACGCTCCCTGCGCCTGGAGCTCTGCACAGAGGTGCTGGTGGATGGAGTTGTTATTCAGTATCTCTACCAGGAAGGGATTCTCACGGACAGTCATGTTCAAGAAATAAAATCCCAAACCACCACTCAGAGGAAAACCATGATGCTCCTTGATATTCTCCCCACCAGAGGACCCAAGGCTTTTGATGCATTCTTGGATTCCTTACAGGAGTTCCCATGGGTTAAAGACAAGCTGATGGTGAAGCGTAAGGAAATGACAGTACAAGATCCTGCAGGTAAGGCCATGTTGCTGATATTTTAAAGCTTGCTCTCAAGCCGTAAGTTTGAAAGTATTGACTGTACCAATAATTTCAAGTTACGTGTTGTGTAGATATGGAGCATGATATCAACAAAAGGGGACAGCCTGAATTTGCTGGAAGCCAGCCAAACGCCAGAAGTATTGCAAACTTTGGGGAATGAGCAGGGCTGGATTTCAGGAGATCAGGAGACAGCAGGAGAGGCTGCTCTGGGAGAGGCTGGGATGTAGGAGGACCCAGACTCCATTATCTAAAGGAAACGGACTATAAAGTAGTTTTGACTAGCTGCAGAACAGTCTTCTCACCATCCATACCCAATTATTCTTTGTTTTATGTATGTTTTACAGTGGTTTGTTTCTGGATTGCTCATGTTGACAGAATTTTTATTTACTTACTCTTATTTTGATTTTAATGTCATTTTGATTTTGTAGCATATGCTAATTTAGATTGTTAGCTTATTATGTTTACTGGAGTGCAAATATCTAGGATCATTACTTCCAAAATTACTAGCCATTGCTAAGTTTTTAAAAAAAACCCAGGAGCTAACCGATTTAGAGGGTGTTGTATAATCTTATTTAGTGAAATCTTTGGCTTTCTGGCATTTAAATGTACTTCTAAAACTAGTGTTCTGGACTTGATGTTTGTTCGGAAGTGATTTCTTTACCAATATGTGCATGCAATTGTTGAGCTGTTTTGAACTCTAAACAACTGCTTAAAATGCATGTTTCTTGCCCTAGATTCTGGCAGCATGCGCTGGCTGCTAACCTCATGTTACCAGCGAGATAGTGAAATAGTCTGCACTTGGGAACATCGTTTCTGAGCAGTCTGATTAATCTTTCTCCAAGCCCTCCACTCTTCCCCCCTATCTGAGTTTGGTCATATGTATTTTGATGCACATGACACATGATTTTTCCAGTGTCAGTGTGCTTTGCATGAGACTGAAAGCCTGTGAAGGTGGGTGACTAAGACCCGTTGACTGTCATGTGCACCTGCGTTCCAGTTCAGCTGCATGTTCAAGAACGTTTTGTCAAGATCTGCTGGACAGATCTGACGTTATCTTACCTTAGGACATTTTTAATGGACTATCATGACAGCTTGTCTTTCTGTTGGGTCTCTGTGGAGGTTGCTTTATGCTTGCTCGGGAATGGGTAAATAATTTTCAGAATTTGGGAAATAAATGTCCTGTGCTGCCCATAGGGGAAAACACTGCAAGTTCTCAGCACAATGCATACTTGTGGCATTGAGTGTGTTGGGAAAGACCTTGCTCGCTGTTATGACAGATCCTGTCATGGCAATGCTCTTTATTTGCCTTCCAAATCAGCCTGTTTGTTTGCTAATTGCTGGTTAAGCTGTTGAATAATCCTTACAGTTCCAGAAACGCACACACAGCCATCGAGTACAGTCAGGATCACGTAGTTTGTTACCAGAAAAATTGTTTCTGATTTTTGTACTTTTGCTTGTTTTGTGGATTGCTTGTTTCTTTTTTTGATCGCTTGTGACTAATGTGCTGGATTTATGCATATCGGGTTCTCTGGTTTCAAGTGGGCTGACTTGATAATCCAGTTGCCAGATTTTGTGTGTAAATTAGAAAAGGCTTCCAAACCAGATCAAAGGTTACTGTTATTTTTACTGTGGCAATACAGAGTGTAAGAACAGGATAAGAGGCAGATAGCCAAGTTTGTTTTAATATTTAGGCATGTTCTTTAGAAGCAAAAGAAAGAGAGCACCATCTGTGCCCTAATAAATGCTGAGTGCACCCTGGAATGAATTGGAAACTATGGTGGCATCATCAGTGCTGATTACATGCAGGAAAATGTGGTTTGGGATAAAAAGCCTCGCTTTGCATTCTAAACAACAAACTTGTAAGCTTTTGTCTCGGCAGAGTACTTGAGCATATGCTTGGCCTTAAGCATGGAAAAAGCCATTGGCTCTAATAAAACTATAAGCATACTTAAAATTAAATGTGTTCTTTAGTGCCATGCTAGATAACTTAACTTTTCCCTCATTGGAAACAGTTCTTATAAATGATGATTTGTCAGTGGCAATTTCTTTTAAAGAATCCATTTGTAGTGAAAAAAGCCTGCCATATACACAGTACCTTTTTTTCAACCCCAAAACTTTTAAAATTGAAGTTGATTTTATGGCCTCAGATTTTTAAATCTTTTTTTCCTTTGAATCATACATACTTACGGAAATCGCATGCCTGGTGTTCACTTGTTTATGCTCGATTAAAATTCTGTTTACTCAAGCAAAATATCCTCAGTTTTTGCAGATCTTTTGCAGGACTAAGGACTGGTGGCAAGTTGTTCCTTGAAGGAAGGTTTTATTTTATAGTCTTTCTCTTCTCACTGACTACATGTAGGATTTTTAAAGTAAGTAAAAGTAGACTTAGGTTTTCTCTATCTGAACTTAAAAACTGTGGCACATGCACAGTGATTTTTCCTATGCAGGCCTTTGGATTATTGTGCATTTTGTTCAAAGGGATCAGGCTTTCTATCTTTCCTTTGGCTGAGAAATATACTTTGTTGGTTCCCAGTTAAAAAAAAAAAATCACAACTGTAATTGTTAAGAAGCTTTAAATTTATTTTCTTCCCCTAGTAAAAAAAAACACCACAAACCAACAAACCAACCGAACCAAACAAACAGCAATTTCAGAAGGACAGAAATAAAAACATTTTTGGTGATTAGTGTAAATATGATCTCCTGGACTGAGCAGCTACAAAATAGAAGCCAAAGTCTGAGACCTAGACAAGACACTGCCACTGACTCATTGGGAGCCTTTGGGCAAATTCTTCCAAGGCAGTGGGGTTATTGATTCCCAAGCTGTGTAACTTGGTGTAATGTTCATGGAGCAGCATATAGGGTAACTGTAAATTGGCCCAAGATTCAACCCAGAGTATGCTGTTTGGCTGCTTGTAAATAAATGAACTTTAAAACCTGTGATAGCCTGAGTTTTATTGCTGAACATCAGTTGACTTAAAAATAATAGTTCTGTATATTGTTATCTGCTGTAGTTCCAAGGAACACAGAAGACCATAATCCTGCAGAGCATGAGGAATATTTTTTTCCGTGGGAATCAGGAGAGTGATGTGCAGGCAGGTAGGGCCACTTGCATCTGTAAAATTGCAGCAAAGAGACCCAAGATTCCTTCCCAGTGCTTGTTTACTTTATGCACAGGACAGCCTTTTGCCTTGGGTCACCTTTCTCCTCTCTCATATGGATCTGTCAGATGGCCACAGCTTTGGGGAAACCTTTCCTTAAGGTAGGGAAAGCACTGTAAAACCCCAAAATCTCAGGAAGAAAATTTAAAGTCATGTGCTTTTGGAGGTAAATATTTATGACTTTAATTTATTTCAAGATGATAGGGTGTGTTTCTTGCTTATCTAAGAACCTGTGATAAACAGTTCACCTGTGCAGAGTGGCACTGCAAGATCTAATGATTATAAACATCAACCACAGTACGAGTTTCTGATTTTGAAGATGAGAACTGCCGTAGTAAGAGTTAACAAAAATAATGTGGGTCTGTTTCATTGGGAAAAGACTATTCTGGTTTTTCTGCCCTAGTTTGGATAACTTTATGCCTTTGTCAGGCACATAAATCTTCAATATAGTATTATAATTCCTACAAAAAAACTACAGCTGTTGGCAACAGATTTCCATTCTTTCTAGGAACAGCAAACAGTTACCCAATATTTTTTGCACTGAATAAAAAAATATAAGCTTCGATGGCATTTGTTTATGAGAATGTTTTTCTAATCTCTCTCTGCTCGGGAATTTCTCTGCCCAAGTATTATATTTCTCTCTGTGCTATATGTTGCTATAAAATTATTTAATTCTAAGAGTGTTAGTACTGGACCTCTTTGTAGTATAGATGATTTCTCCATTCCACAGGAAATCACAGCATACTGAGAAAGAGAAAAGTCTGAGATACAGCGTTTGCCAAAGGAATCCTGCAGCACCCGTTGCTATCTGGCAAATGTTAGTGAATTTGGGGCATGGAGTTACACAGAATCGTCTTGGGAAAGCTGTTCTCTCACAACTAAGCAAGGAATATTTTTCAATGCATGATTTTGTTACTGTTGTGGTACCTAGTCAGAAGTCTGCCTTAGGGTCCTGTTAGACTTGGGTGAGGTTTTTTGGTTTGAACAGATTTTTGTGTGGTTGGGGTTTTTCCCTGGATGTGTGGGGAATGTGTGTTCTCATATAGCTGTATAAAGCTTCATGTTGTGTAACACTTTGGATGAAGCATGCAAATACAAAACAAAGCAAAACATGTACTTCTGAGAAAGCCATCCTTCCCTCCCCCCACAGCTTTCCCAAAGTCCTTTTTCCACAGCCAGGTTGTAGGTTTCTAAGAACTCGGATTCAAATGCAACAGCATTAGGACATGGCGAAGTTTAGCATCTCTCCTTACCTTTTGTTGGCTGCTGCCTGCCCTCTTCCTATTCTGCTTCCTCTCATGTCTAATGCAGTGAGGAAACAGTCTGGTCTCTCGCCTTTTCCATTTGGATGTCAGATAGGAGAGCAGCTGATGAATTCCTTTTCTCTCTCTAAAATGGTGGACAGAAGACGGTGGTTTTTTTCTTTCTTCTCTTTCCCTCCCCTCTCTTGTATAGTCCAGTGGCAGAAGGGGGAGTTTCCTCCCATGTATGTCTGAAGGAAAGGGATGGGCTTAGCAGCCTTGGCCGCACTGGATTGACCTGGAGATGAAGGAATGCCCTTGTGCCACATCCCAATGCCTGGAGGCTAAAGAAAGTGTTCTCTGGTTCTCTGGAGAGATTCAAAGGCATCCTCGTAGGAGAATTTCCCAAACTCTTTTCCACATTCCCATCTCCCCTGAAAATCGGGTGTTACATTTATGGCTTTGGCTTTGTTCCTGACCGCAGCGAGATCTGTGAAGTCTGGCATTAAGGGTTTGTGCACACACTCAATATTAACAGCATGCATCATGACATGGACAAGTAATCAACTTCCCTAGTTCTACAGAGTGTTCTGTGTATGTATTTTGGTTTTAATGTGTGTATGAATGTAAGATTTTTTTTCTTTCTTTTTTTTTTAACAGTTTAAGGAATATTTGCTTTTTTGCTTTTTTGCTGTGTTAGTAAGGAGCTGTGTTTATGCTGCTTACATCTATGTTTTTCACTTTGAGAAGCCTAAATCTTAGGCATCGTGGTTAAGAACTATAGTGTTTTGTGTCCAGTCTCAAACAGTTTCTTTCAGGTAAGTTAATGGAAAGATATAACCATATTTGGTGTCATCCTCAGTAACACAAATATGTGAGGCTAATAATAATATAGATTTAATAAAACATATAGTCCCTGGAAACAGGAGAGAAGTGAGTTCTGGCAAGAGAGGTGTTTGGGCCAGCTTTGCCTGGTCAACTACTCATAACCAGTGCCACTGAGAGGAAGCAGTGGGTAGTTGGGATTGAAGACTCCGTGGTGTAGGGAATGGAGATCTCCATCTGCTGACCAGACCTGATGACTTCCAAAGTTTGCTGCTTCCCCAGGGACTGGATCCAGGGCATCACAGAGGTTGCCAAGGCCTGGCCAATCATCAGACTTTGTTACTTTCTCATGTGGGCACTAGTAATACTTCAGCAGATTAAGGATGACTACAGGACTCGGTGATCCCATGGGATCCAAGGGATGGAGCCCAAGCAGTATTCTCCATCCTGCCGTTCAAGGGGAAGAACCTGGGCAGGGGTGGATGCATCCTGCATATTCCCACCGGTGTGTGCCCCTGGTTGCAGCAGTGTAATGTCATTGGGTTTGCAGAGACACGGAGGGATAGTTCACACAACTGCAGTGCCATAGCGCATGGCCTCAGGCTCTTAGGCAAGGATCCACTGCAGTTTCTTCAAAGGATTGTCTTGAATGCACAGAGCTTTGCTATTGCCTGGGCAACAGGCGGGTCAAGAGCTTATGGGTTAGGGTCAGAAGGGAGCTCAGTAAGAAAGACACTGTGGTGGCATCTTTTATAGGGCTTCCCAATCAAAAGGAGTTAGAGCCTGGAGAAGGGAAGATAGCAGCTTTCCAATACCTACAAAGAGGATATCAAGAGAAGACAGGGATAGGCTCTACACAGCAATGCATGGTGGGAAGATGAGAAATGAAGGGTGTTAGTTGAAATGGGAGGTTCTGACTGGTTGTGAGGGGAGTTTTTTTGTCATAAGGGGAGTCAAGAAGTGGAACAGGGACCCAGGGAGGTTGACCAGTCTTCATCCTTGGAGGTTTTCAAGAACTGGCTGCATAGAATACTGAGCAACATGGTCTGATCTCAGAGCTGACCCTGCTTTGAACAGGAGGTTGGACAGGAGACCTGCTGAGGTCTCTTCCAACACAAATTTCCCTATGAACCCATGAAGCCTTCTTAAAAGAGTGCTTCTATTGCAGGCCCTGGTTCTCAGGGCAAGTTTAACAACCCTGGTGTTTACTGGGAATGTAACACAGTATGTGTTACAGGAGGCTTCTGGAATGCAGAAGGGACAATATCTTGATGAATGTCTTAGATCAGTAGACTAACAGAGGTGCTCTACTGGCCTTGCTACTCACAAAGAGAGAACAACTATTTAGGGATGTGTTTGTTAATGTCAGTCTTGGCTGCAGTTACCATGCAGTGCTCAAGTTTGCGATACTGAGAGAAGAGAGGAAAGCCAGTAGCAGAGTAAAGGTCCTGGACTTTTGCTTGTTCCTGAAACTAGTTGATGGGACGCTGTAGGAGACAGTTCTGAAGGACAAAAGCACCCAAGAGACCTGACTGATCATCAAGGAAAACCTCTTCAAAGCACAAAAATGGTCCATTCCTATATACAGGAAAAGCAGCAGGCATGGCAGGAGGCCAGCTTGGCTGAAAAGGGAACTCCCAGCTGAGCTCAAAAATTCAAAAAGGAATTGTGTAGGAGGTGGAAACGAGGATAGGCTACCCAGGAGCAATATAAAAGCATTCTGTGGGCTTTTAGGAATAGAGTTATGAAGGGCAAAGCTCACCTGAGTTTGAAACCATTCAGGGATCTGAAGGACAGCAAGATGGGCTTCTACAGGTACATAGGCAGTGGAAGGAGGACCGAGGCAACCACTGAAGAAGGGCATGGAAAAGGCTGGGTCTTCATATGCAAAGCCTGCTGTCAGTTAGTTCCTGGTCTCTGTGCCTAGTAGTGGAATTTGGATGAGGGAGATGCTATTTATAGTAGAAGAGAATCGAGTTAGGAGCTACATGAGTAGAGTGAGCATACACAGATCCACAGACCTGGATGGGATGTGCCTGAGAGTGCTGAGGGAGCCAGCCTATGTCTTTCAGAGGCTGTTTTCTGTTATGTTTGGTACGCTGTGGTAAGCGAAATGCGCAATGTGCAATAAAGTACTGGGAACAGCCAGCTTGGGTCTACCACAGGTAAATCAAGCTTGACCAACTTGATTCTTGCCTTCTGTGATAAAATGACTGCCTCTGTGGGTGATGGCGGTAGATTTCGTTTAATTGACTTCAGCAAGGCTTTCAGCACAGTGATAGCATTCTTGTGGCTAGCTGGGAAGGTATGGACTGAATGGGTGGACTGCACAGTGGGTGAAAAAAAGGCTGGACCACCAGGCTCAAAGGAGGGTGGTCAGTGGTTCAATATTTATTTAACTGGAGGCTAGTTACGAGTCACGTTCCTCAGGGCTGACAGTGAGACCAATTCTGTTTAACCTCTTTGTCAGTGACCTGGGTGATGGGAGGGACTGTATCTTTGGGAAGTTTGTAGGTGAATTAATTTTGTTTGCATATTTGTCAGTTTGTGTTCTGGGGTCTTCTGAACTGTGCCTAAAGCAGGAAGGCAGGATGATGCCAGGCCTTGGGGATCATTTGACACAGGAGAGTGGGACTGCCTCTCAGAGGGATCCCAGCAAGCTGGATGAATGGGCCAGCAAGAACCTCATGACATTCAGCAGAAGTAATTGTAAAGCCCTGCACCCGGGATACAAAATTCCTGCAAAATAACACAAGATGGGCACTGACTGCCCGGTTGCAACTCTGCAGAAAAGAAGCTGGATGTCTTGATAGACAGCAAGTACAATGCTGGAGACTAACCACACACAGGACTGCATCAGCAAGAGCAAAGGCAGCAGGCTGAGGGAAGTGATTACTCCCCTGTACTTGGTACTAGGAGGCTGTATT